CCCCGGCAAATAGGATGAACGAAGATGAATGACATTTACGCATGATTTATCCATATCCCACTATGTTCTGTCATGTTCCGCCCCTTTTTATCCTGTCCTACCCTACTAAGCCCTACCGGGATGCCCTAACCTACTTTACCATATCTCCTTTTGCTCTGATACATCGTAGCCTCCCGTTCCCTCTTCCAATCCCACCGTGCTCTATCCCATCCATCCAGCTCCATCCCGTCCATCTCTTCATCCTTCCGCGACCCCCCTCCACCTGCACCACCTAGCCACCAGCCCTACTCTGGGCGCCCCCGGCCTGTCCTCGGCAAGTCGTGTTCGCTACAATCATTTTTGCTACCACCATCGTTGCTATGGGTAAGTGTAAAAAGGTGTACTGTCCCGGAACTTATCCAGTTACAATTTCAACCTTCAATTGCTCAAAGTCTAATTGCACTAATGGAATTAATCACATTACATTTAGAAGGAAACTTTATGTGTTTGTTTAATCCATTTTCCTAGATTTACACAATGATTTATTGATATTTGTGAAAAAACTGAAGGAGTGCAATTTTTTTAAATATTTGAATACAATTAAATATAATTTGATTGTTTTTTGTCTTTTCTATTAGACCAGGTTCCTTTAAAAAATTGTATACAGTAGACGTTTTATTTCTTTAATTCCATACCGGTAAACATATTTTTCAAACGACGTTCCGGGATTTACTGTACTCTTACGTCAGGTCTTTTTTAATTAGGAAATTTTAACAAGGAACCGAATATATCCCTGTCTGTTGGTATTCTATGCCCCTTCGATCTTCCATTTGTGAAGTTCAGTAATTTTTAAATGTTTGCTTGTTACGAACAGAATCTTGGTGGCTCACACTTATATGTTTATAAATACGCGATAGCCAAGTGACGAAACCTATTTGCAAATTAACTAGTGATTCTATTTATTACAGACGCAAATACCTACTTTCTAGCATTCTTTTAACGGCTTCGCAATATTATACTACTATATGAACCTGGAATTGTGTTTTAAACCAACACCTTTTTATCCGCTCCGAGAGTCTAACTCAGGTCCATGGAGGTAACACTTTTTTACTGCAATACCGCACAGTCGCACGGCCACTGTACTGAACTGTCCTGAAACGTTTTCAGTACAAGTATATGGGTATATATTGACACAATACGTAATTGACATACGTATTGACATAATTTTTGAGTATTGCATAGACTTCCCATCCAGTACAGCTTATTATTCTCTGAAAATTTACCCTGTTAAAAAATAAAATGGTTGGTACGTGGAGTCTACATTCTACAAACTCCTCCTACACTTACTATCACTGGGCAAGATGTTATTAGCGTCCATAATTTCTTTCGCTACGCCAGATGTTAAATAGCGTCCATACCACAATTTAAAAAATTTATAGTTCTTGTAGTACAAATTGGATGATAGAGATTTTGTCTTCGACAAAATTGTTCTAAAAACTCAGATTTAAAAAAGTCATGAACATTGTTTTAAAAAAAGCGAGTAATTTTCGTGCAATTTCTACTTAAAGTTAATGGAAATTATAAAAAGAAACTTTTTCTCAATAACCACTCGATCTTTTTCTTTATTGTTTCACGAATAGAACAAGCGACCCTTCAACGAATGGTGCAGGTCTCTTTTTTTATTCATCTCTCTAAAATATCGAAAATTGAAAAACTTGGAAATAATGCGAAAACGTATGTGCTATAGTGTCTTCATTCGTTTAGCATTGCGTTACAGATTAGAAATATTAGGTTGTAATTTGCAGTATTGTGTTGAATTTTTAAATACAAGTTATAATTCACTGGATTGTCTGCGCCTTATTAAGATAATATTGGAATGTTAACAGAACTGACCGTGTGTTGTTATTAAGTCACAAAGCAATTCAGAAATAACTTAGTAGAAAAAAATTATTTTAATATTAGAGATAAACGTGAACTATTTGGATGTGTATTTATTTTTGCATTAACGTTTGTTCGCGTATATGCCAAAAGTAATAGTAGTTTATGGAATTAGTTTATAATGTTAAGTAAGCTTTATTGCATGAGAACACGCGACATTAAGAGCGAGCGACAAACGAACGACATTAGGAGCGAGTTTTCAAATTTGTACGAATGCAATAAAGCAACATTATAATAGAGTTGCATTCACCATTTTTGGTACAAAGTATCATAAATTTATTAGATAATCAAACTTAATTTTGCGAAACACCTGTCTTGTGACGTGCCGGGTAGTTGACATCTGTGCGAGAAAACGGTGGTGAGCTGATCCGTTCACCGCTATCTCCCCACGATTCTCTCATTGCGATTGGCTGGATGTGTGAGGATACAATCATGCGTGCCGTACGAAGATTGCCTTTTATCTTTCGGGATTTGGCAACCCTGGTGTTGCAATCTGGCAACTGACAGCTCTATCGTAAAGTTGGATGTTTTGAGGTTGTACGTACTCAGAACGTTTTGACATACGAGCGCTATTTGTGTTGTTTACAGTAACTTGAAAGATTTATCTTGGCCCGAAAATAGAATTAAATCGTGAACATTTTCGTGCGATTATTTTTTACAACTTTCGATGTGGATTAACTCAGCAACAGTGCATGGATGAACTTAATTCAATTTCTGGCGATGAAGCTTCATCAAGGATCAGTGTTTATCGATGGTATAGTGAATTCAATCGTGGTCGTAGTTCATTCCAAGACGAATTTCGCGAAGGTCGTACAAAATCAGTTGTTGTTCCGAAAACCATTGATGTGCGTGAACGGATATTGCAAGATCGGCATGTGACCTATCGTGAGATTGAGACAAACTTAGGCATTAGTGGGACCAACATACATTCAATATTGCATGAACATTTGACTGTCAAATAAATTTGTTCGCGTTGGATCCCACACAATTTGTCAGTCGCTCAAAAAAAAGCCTCGTGTCGATTGGTCGAAATAAATGCTCATAAAATACGATTGCGGTGCTTCAAAACACGTCTATGACATCGTGACAGGTGATGAATCGTGGATTTACGCGTATGAGTCCGAAAGTAAATAGCAGTCGACTGTATGGGTGTTTCAAGGTGAGCAAAATCCAACAAAAGTTGTTCGCGCACGAAGCACTTCCAAACAGATGGTCGCCTGTTTTTTCGGAAAAACTGGACATGTAGCAACCATACCACTATGACAACGCAGAACAGTCAATTCTCAGTGGTACACAACGATTTGTTTGCCAGCTGTCGTCCAAGAAATCAAGAAAACCAACCGCCGAAGACGGATCACTCTTCACCGCGACAATGCGAGCTCTCACACATCGGCTCAAACAACTGCATTTTTGAGCACCCAAAACATCGATTTGATGAGTCATCTGCCGTATAGTCCTGACTTGGCGCCGAATGACTTCTTTTTATTCCCGTACGTGAAAAACAAACTGAGAGGTCGTTTTTCGACACCTGAAGAAGCGGTAGCTGCATTCAGAATGCATGTTTTGGAGACACCTCAATCAAAGTGGCAAAAGTGCTTCGACAATTGGTTCAAACGCATACAAAAGTATATATATCTTCATGGGGAATATTTTGAAAAACAATAATGTGATTTTCGATGTCTAATATTTGTTTTTGTTCTCTAATCCCGAAATATAAAAGGCAACCCTCGTAAAATGCCCTTTCATGAACGTTTCTTGCAACAAAAGGTCGTTTGTAATGCAGATATTGAAACAAAAAACAAAATACATTCACTTCACAAAATCGTAGACATGTATTATCCACGAGGATGACAGGTGAATCACAATATTCTTCTTTCTTCTCTTGCTTTCTTGCATTATGCTCGCGCCTGTTCCAGATTTTCCTCTCATTTTCTTCTCAGTTGTTCGCGATTTCTCTTGCTTCCTCTAGTCTCTAATTTAATTTTAATTTGATTTGATTTATTTAGTTAAAAAACAGCAAAACCTGTATGTAACGTATGGGGGGAATTTACTTTTGACTATTTGCTACAAAGTTCGTGGGTTACTTTATTTACATATGATAGTAGCTGGTTTATGGAAATTCTGTTTTAAGGTTAAATAAACAAAATAACAATAATGATTGAACGTTTTTGTCCTATTTCCTCGAAAGGTCTTGCAGGAAATTTTCTTAATCAAAAAGTTGAAAGTTAATATTGTAGAAATATAAAAAGTAGGATGCGGACATATTTGTGCTGCATGTTTGTTCGTGGCTGAAATGGAGATTTAGATATGATTTACATTTTAGATATCGTTCGTTATGGGGTTTAGTTTGTCAAAACCAACGTAGAACAGATCTACATATTGAGTAAGTCAAAAATGTTCATCATTCATTGACCCATTAACATTATCATGAAAAATTAATGGGGGTTGGAAATGTTTTACTCCTGTAGCGTAGCATTGTCATATATGTTTATCATGTTTTGTTTTTGTTAATAAAATAAATTGTATTGTTGTTTATAAAATAAATTAACATTTGATCCATTAATTTTTCACATATTGCGAAAGAAGCTCGCCTTCCTCAACTGTACTACTTGAAAAAGTTAGTGGACTCGTAAAAAGAAAAAAATACATAGCAAGTCATTTCAGAAGAAAAAAAACAGAACTATCTTCAACAGCTCTTCGAACCTTGGAAATGCACACACACTTCTGGCTGCTGCAACAAAATTGGGAAATTACAAAATAACTGTTTCTACTTGAATCTATATTTTAGGTCAAATCAGCAAGGGAATTATTTATTGCTAATACTGAGGAACACGAAGCTTTTTCCCACTTAAAATCCCTCGCCCTATATATATATATGCGAAATGGGAACCCCTTATACATCAAACTTGCTAATATTTCTCTGTGTTGTGACATCCCTGTCTAAGCTGTGCCCTAAGTTTCAATTTCAATGAATTTTAATTATACTTAATTTAATTAAAGCTTTTATTGGTAATTTTAAATATTCACATATTTCTTTCATGCATGCCTCATGAGTGTTTCATTGTTCTGCTTTCTTGTTCCAGGTTCATAATATTGTTTTGTATCCTGATAAACATTCATGGTGCAAAATTACTCCTATTAAGCAAGTAGTTACATATCCTGGATGTAACTCAGTAGAGATTGACAACAATGTATGTGTTGGTACATGCTTCAGTTACAGTATACCAAGAACGTTACCAAGTGCTCCAGGAGAGCTTATTAAACCTTACTGTGATTCGTGCCAACCATCTGTTTTAATATGGAAAAATGTAAGTTATTTCTCTCATTTCCATTGCACGCTAATCGGAAATTTACATTAAGATTTACATTTAATTTAATGGATTCAGTTATTTTCAAACAAGGAATGAAAAATATCGAATCATTGAGCAAATAAAAATGATTGATTATTGAAGAGTATGAAGACCGCAACAAAAAAGAGATCTGGTAGCGGGAGTACGTGTTGACAAGGGAGCGAAACAGGGAAAGTGCAGGTGAGGAAAAGATGAGAAAGCTGTTTGGGGAAGTATATTTTCAAATATTTTGCATGTTGAGCAATTCCATCATCATGCTTGTAAAATGAAAAAAGGATGTTTGGTGCAAAATCATATAAAATCATGGGGGGAAAAGGTTTCTTTTCAGGTTGTGCCAAAAACATATTCATTGATAGAAAGACGGTCCAACGCATTCTTGATATTTTTTATTAACCCTAGCTTTACCAAGCATAGGTAAAAAGTGCCCATTAGTTCGTTTCTAAAACAAAATGTGCTTTAAGTGGATTCAGATATTTTTTATTCTATTTGTCAATAACGCCAAATTTTACGTTATAACATTTTAATCTACGTAATAACCTTAAAGATTTTTAAAAATATGCGATATTTTCGGGCATGGATAATTTTTGCCCAAGGTTGGTAAAAGCTGTTATCCATTGTCGAAGCAACACAGTGCAGATGTTCGTACTTATGGGTTGTATTTGTAAAAAACATTCAAAAACGGAGTTTCGTGTATTCAGGGACCCTGTACAGTGATGTCAGGTGATGATGAACATTTAAACTTAACAATGTCCAGCAAGATTATTCTACACTTATTTGTATTACCTTAATTGTTATGTAACAATGTTTACTTAATAAAACCATTATATTTACATTATAAAACATTCATATTCACAATATTATATATATATATATATATATATATATATATATATTATAATATAATATATATAATTCAGTCATATTACAATATTATAGTCATCATAAGAAATTAAACATATGGGCACTTTTTGCCCATGGTTGGTAAAGCACGTTACCAAAAATAACTTGGAAATGCTAGGGTTAATTTAGTTAAAAACCTATCCTCTGGAGTGGCTCATGAACAGCGTGCTAGCTTTCTATGATGCGGTCCAGGATTCTATTCCCGTCCGAGGCAAATGATCCTGTAGCTCTCAAATTAAAAATCGTCTCATTTTTTATAAGCTGTGTGACGAAAGAAAAACCTTAGGCAGGCCAAGTGAGAGAGGTGATGGCAATATACCATGGCCGCTGCATGTCTCACTTACCCCTAGGTGTGGATAATAAATAAAAACAGGGCCCAGACCTAGCTGCAGAAGTCTGATTAAGACGGCCCCAAAATACAAAATACATACATATTTAAACATTATGTCTTGAATATATTTACTACTATAATTGCTAAAAACCTTCATTTAAGTTGTGCTCCGTAGAGTAATGAATATAAATGAATATGAACAAGCACTATGTACAGTATGTGCAAGCGTACCGTAGCATGTAAGTAAACTTGACTTTGTTTTAATTGTTTTTGAAATTATAAATATAAAAAGCATATAAATAAGAAAATATAATATATAATTTTAGTATTCTATGTGCATTTTAGTGGCTACAAACTCGTAGGGCATTGATTTGTTCAGATCGATCTGAGAATCTCAATTTTGGAGAATATGTGGTTTATTTACTGTTATTTTGAAATCGCCTGTTAATCTGCTCCGCCATTTTTTGCAAATATATTGCAATAAAGAAAGGAATGGGATATATCAGAGCAAAACGTCGAAGGATTCTGCTCTTTCCCCTCTGGCAATAAAATATAGATAACTTTGGTCTCGGCGAATCCCATCGTGATAAGCAACAAATTTGCAGTTTTTGCTCTCTACACAAATTTCTTCACTATAAAGGAAAAAATCAAGAACATTCGTACTTGAGAGTCACCCTCAATGATTTTTTGTGGCTTAGTACGTTAAATTGATCAAATCAGAATAAAAGCGAGAATAATAGAAGTTGACCAAAAAATCAGATAATGATTTATCAGATATCGTTCCAAATCAAAATTATTTTAATACCAAGAGTTTTCAACAGATTCCCAAAATGTTTTATCGTAGAAGACTGCATCTATAAGTATGTTATTTCCCAATGAAAATGCAAAGTATAATCGAGTTCCTCTAATACTTCACAACTGAATCACATCATATTATTATCTACGCTGACCACAAAATACTCATACGCTGCAAAAAATCAAAGATATTCCATATTCGAACCTCAATTTTGCTTCGCATGCAAGTTACGAATGCAGGCCTACATCTCTTTATATAACACTCAAAGGAAAGATATTGGTTTGGTGCCATTTACAAGAGCCCCAATCCAAACATAAGCCCCGTGATGGATCGAGAATGACCATCTGATCTATTCAATCATATTTAGGACGATTAATATTCAAGTTCCCAAATTATGTTTTGAGAACAACAGGCGCACACGCAACTCGTTACATTTCGCTGGATCACCATCTTACATAACTCGAAAAGAATGCGTCATAGTCCCTTAAAAGCCAATTTTTGTGTTTGAGTTCGTTTTCTTTTATTATGATTTACAAACTAAGACTTTTTTAGCCTTTTATGACAGTCTTGGAAGTTTAGCCCTCCTGGGCAGCCCTAATCAGAGCACAGGTGGCCAGAAACGATCAGAATCACGAAATCTATGTAAAATAACGCAGACTATTATCAATAAACGCATGGAGATATAATTTTTACTCACACACAATACCGCATGTGTAATTTGTAACACACACTTTTGGGTCTAGTCGTATAAACTTGGGTTTCAGTATGAAGGCATTTTCATATTTAAAATAATTATTTGCAAAATGCGGACTGTTCGCACGAGTCCAAATGTATTTAATTTTTAAAAAAGCATTTACTTTCGAAAATTATTCAAGCTTTACGAAAGTTCACTTGAACATTGATTCACATATGTCCACTGATGATGTCCAATAGGTATTCTTAATGTACTGAAGGTCAAAATCTCATTGTTATTTACTCTAGCAGGGCAAAAATACTAGTAAATTAAAGAAAAATATCTAACTTCATTAATAAAAATAATGAAAAAACTAAAATGTCCTGCAAAATACACTATATTTGATTACTTTTAACTCAATTCCTTTTGTTGCAGCTTACCCTAACCTGCAAAGGTGAAGATCCAGACGCTTCAGAAATGCAAAAGAGTGTCCAGATTATTTCTAACTGCAGCTGCAGTACGTGTGACTTTGGAGAAGAAAATAATGGCCTGTCATCATTTGTTTCGTCGGGAGATGGAGATGTGGGGCAGAGGCAGTTAGATGGACAAGAACTAATGGATTGGATGATGGAATCTCCCAGTGCAGCAAAACTGGGGAGAAAAATGTTCAATACAAGCATGATATCACATGCTAATTTTTCTGCTAGTGATCCTGTTATGAATGAAAAGTTATTAATTTTGGTTAAACAACTAGCAGGAAGTGGAGAATATAGTGAAGAAGAGGCTGCAGATCGAGACCCTTCAGAATGGGATGGAGGAGACAACCAAGAAGCCCGTCTTGACAGAGTAGCCCTGAAAGAACTACTTAGGGAAGTAGAAGGAGTAGATCATAAAGTAAACAGAGAAACACTTGCTGATTTCGTCAAGCATGTGGAAGAGAGGGAGAATATAAAAGTGGACTTAGATCGCCTCCGCCAAGTATTAGCTCACATGCAACATGAACTGCAGCAGGAACAACAGTCAAAATCTCATAAAACTGAAGTTGAGGATAAAAACACTGAACCAGAATACCAGCAACAGAACCTGCCTAGTTCACAACAACAACAACAACAACAACAACAACCACAACATACTCAGCACCATCCACATCATGGAGAACATCATTCTCAACATCATAATACGCAGCATTCACACCAACATTCACATCAACATCTTCAACATCAACCTCTTGTGGCTGACAGAAGGGTTGAACGCCTGAGGGATGTGCTGAATGGCGAACCTGGAGGGGAACGACTAGATGTAGAACCTCACCAACTTAAGCCGGCGTTGGAAGGTGGGGAATTGAGCTATCACGATAATTTGGTTTCAGCAAATGAAAATGAAAATGATTCAAATAAACAGGAGGAGTTCTAATATATTTCATAATTTTCTTGATGAAAGAGAATGTTCATAACATCAACATATACAAGGGTTTTAATAAGAAGGTTCTCAGAAATCCTTTAATATCTTGTATGAAATGGTGACATCTAAGATCTAAAGATTAACAAATGAGGAGATTTACTGAAAAATAATTGATGAGTCTTAGAAGTACACATACTATGTTTTTAAGATATTCAAACACTAACGTTAAAAGATTGTTAAATTGCCACGTTTTCACATCTAAATATTTCTATATACATTATTGCATATAAGATATTTAAAAATGTAATTAATTGTAGTCACTAATTTTACATATGTGCAAATTATAGACAAGAGAGGTGTATTTGAGACCAAATATTTTCACGGTAATAAATGCAGAATGGAGTTCATAAAATTATTAATTTTTGTTAAATAAATCATTTATTTTTTGGTTTCTACATTGTTAATTCTGTCTGTTTAAGCGTATACCTAGTAATCAAAGAAATGTCAAATATTTTACCTTTATCGAAACACCATGTCCTATGTAACATATGTCCTATGTAACCACTCAAACTCTCTGTAACCTTAACACCAGTTCGAATATGTCAATGAATCCTGAGAATATTTCACTCGAGAGTGTCCATTCTTAATCAAAATGAATATGAGAGAAATTTAGTGTAAGAAGCGAGGCTGGTTCAAATCCCCCTAGGCTTCGATGTTAGTAGTGTCTAGTGACTAGTATGTGTCGTGGCATGGTAGATTTTCCCATTCACTATGCATTACCACTCGAATTTTAACTTTTGTTATCGCGTGTCAATATGACGTAGGAGCCTGGGTGGTGAGCCAGGTCCATGCTACACATGAGTGGGCTATTTTCCAGCACCTGACCTTACGCAGGAAACAGTGGGAATGGCAACAGCGTACGGTCCTACGACACAAAGGAGCGCTGCCTAGGCATCAAGGCCATGTTAGAGTCGAAAAACTGCGCATATGAAAATTAGTGTGTAAATCCCGAAAATTTGGTTGCGTGGGACAAGCAAAGTAAATGCCATGGTGGCAACTCCCTGGAGCCAATCTCAGGGAGGAAGTGTTTAAAGCAGGTATGTCAAGGTCGCGGGTAAGGTAACTAGTTAACTAGAGTTGGAGGGCACTCCATCCAGAGAAATATACACGAAATTAAAAAAAAAAGATTTGTATAAAGTCCGAATGGCGATACGTCACTGGATTTCTGATCTAAGATGGGCTTTGAAAAGTTAATTGACATTTATTGCCTCAAAGCGAAATTTGATTTCCCATTTCATCAACTAAATCAAAGAAAAGATCATAGGTAATATCACGAGTGCTTTGGAATTTGTCGATAATTTTTGAGAGTTTCTAAAACAAGAATGGTATTTAATAAGACTATTCCACGAGTGAAATTATGTCCAACAGAGTTCCAAAATGATCCAAATATTGAAAATAACTGAATGTGCATGTTACAGTCAGAGGTTATGTTATAGTACAATCACTGTTTATTTGTCAACGACGTAGCGATTGATGTTTCCGCCTCCGTAGATGTGCCACAGTTTATGATTGGCAAGTAGATAGAAGCGATAAAAAATTGGAAAGAAAAAGCAATAGACCATTGAGATACACCGCCCTGATTGAGGCATTTTGTTTGTATAGTTAAACATTATTGGTTTTAATTTCACGTCAGTCAGATTTCAAATTGTCAATTGAGAATAAAATTAATGATTTTAACTTTAAAGAATCTTGATTTCATATTAATGTTTACTTGAGAGTGCAATAATTGCATTAACTTTCGAAACACAGTTGTAGACTCAGGACTTTAGTGTCATGTGTGAACAGCGAGTGCATTGAAATTTCGATGACCCCTTCTTCAGATCTATTGCGATACGATAAAATCAGTTTTATTTACGAAACACACAAAAAATAATTTAAATTGACTTTTAAGGATTAATATATAATGACATGTATCCTTACGTCGCCATTTGAGGTGAAAATCTCGGGGTCCCACCTAACCCTTCCTGCCTTCACGATCTCCCCTTCTCGTGGCCCCGCCATATATCGATAACTCTTTCTCTGTAGCTTGCTTACCCGAACATAGTTCTTCATGGAAATGTCTGTGAGCTGATAAGACGTTCGTAAATAAGTTCGTAACAAACAGGTGAGCTCTAGTATATTAGATTGGTAGGAAAGGAATTAATCTTGACTAAAAATGCCTTCTCAATTTCAAAACGATTTTAAAGAAATTGTAAAACCTTTTAGGTAAATTTGACAATTGTTAAACTTCCCCTTATAGGAGGTCAAACAAAGTCCTAAATACCAGTAGTGACAGAACTCTCTGTGGTGTCATATTATAAACCAGAAGTCTTGAATCTGCTGTGTAAAACCGTAACGCTTCTCTGCAAAATGACATACACATTTGTTCATCTAATTGAGGAGAAGGGGTCGATCTGGAAGGAAACAGGAAGGAAAAGATTAGCAGAAATTACTGTTGATTCAGTATGTTCCTAAATAGAGGACCATTTTCAGATGACTTACAAAAGAGATATCCTGCTCTGCTTATTTCGCGGAGGATCAATTCCTGTTTCAGAGAAGAGTATATGCTCTACAAAAGGGAAGAAACCAACAGTGGTCTGAAAAGAATGCAAACCCGAATGTCTATGTACACGATTTTCTATGTACAAGTGCGCAGGTGCAAAAGAGCTTTTGATATTTTGTATTTTAATTGTAAATAGAAAGGTCTACTTGAGCCCCTAGAGCCCATGAAACCATCGCATCTAATAATTTTTATAAAAATTTGAAAAAAATATTTAAATAAATTCATATCTATCCAACATGATCGTCTTTAGTAAGAATTTTGAAAGCAAATAAAATTTCAAAATGAAGTCACGCGCGGGTCACACTATTAAACAGTATTGTAACGAATATTGCCTCATCTGCCGGGATTCGCTGCGCGGATTGCGTCATCTGCCGGCGCTTCCCTTTCCCCCCGAACTGGACGGTTCCGGGCTATTCGCGAATCGCGTAGAGGTGTGGCGCACGTTCCCGATGGCTCGAGGCGAGCGCCGGCCAGGTATAAATTCGCCGCTGCTAGAAGTAGTAGTCGGAAATAAGCAGCCGCGAGTCAGTCAAGTACAAAGAAGAAGGAGAAGCAAGTCATTCTCAACATTTTCCATTTCCAAATATTTCTGCGTCGTCTTTCTGATCTTTCTGAAGTTCTTTGAGTTGCCATCGGTCGTTAATCACAGAGACTCTTAAGGTAATAGACATCATCTTCTCTTCTAATGGATATAGTAATATTTCCGCAATCTTAAGAGCGCCCCCGCACTTTGGCTCTACTTAACTGAGTGAAGGAAAACTACTCAGCAGTAGCAGCCTCCTAATATCTGAGCGAGTAATAGTGAACGGATATACGATCTGCCTGAGTGCTAGCCCTTGTGTTTTCCTCTTTGGACTGATAGTTCATCAAATATTGTGTGGGACATCTGGTATTCAGTTACTATGACATATTAATCGGATTTACTTTCCCCAATAACTGTGAATCAGAGAGGGTGCAGTAATTTCTTAGGATTTTGAGTGTTGTTTCGTAAATAAACTATTGTATTAAAAGTGTCTCAACTGACTGATTATTTGATATATTGCCGTACCGTACTAATAGCGGGCTTTATTGCCATCCCGAAATCAATATGCTGATCGCGATATCTTCCGTGCCGTGGTGGCATGCCAACTACGCCACCGCTATTCAGTACCGTAACAGAAGCGAACGCTGGCGAGGCTACATAGGTTTCCTATCAACAAAAGTTTGAATATGAAAGATTGTGAAACGTATCTAGATTGGTCGTATGCGAAAGTAAATCATAATATCTTTCTTCACTTTCTTGCCATACCCTCTTAAGGTTGTATGGCGAAAGTTGCATCTAAGTGAGATAAAGCAAATCTCACGGAATTTCTCCGGATTGCCGGTAAATGAAAATCTCATCTTCCCAGATGACGTAATTGAGAAACTCACAGCAAGAATATCTCCAACTGATCACACAACTCTCCGAGTTTTCTCAGTACTAAAAAAATGGAGAACTGTACATTGTATTTTTCGAGTTACACTAAGATTACAGCGTCCATTATTTTGTGGAGGAATTCTTCTGTGTCATCGCTCAAGATTGTCCTCCAGAATCTGATCAGATGACCATCCAAATGCTAAATTATCTTTAAAATACACGTTACTTCCTCATTAGCATCTTCAATCGAATTTGGCTAGTGCATTCCATCTCAAAGTGTTTGCTAAAATACATTTTATCTAAGTTTCTAAAGAAACGAACAATTCCATGTAGCTACCGTCCAATTTTGCTCACTAGCTGGTTTGTAATCAATTAGAGGAAACGGTAAACTCTCTTCTGCTCTAGCTCCTGGAACAAAGAAATTTGTTAACCTTCATTAAATGTGGCTTCAGACGGCATCGGTCAACCTTGGACCACTTAGCCACCCACGCTTCACTGATCTCCCCTCATAGCTATTTTTGATATCGAGGCCTACAACGCCACCTGAAAACACATTCTTTGTATTTTGCATTCTTTGGGACTCCGGGAACGACTCCTATTGCTCATGGTAGATTTTTCTGCCTTCAATGTTTTTCCGCAAACACCTTCGTGAAAAGCTATCTCACATTCACCAGTTTGAAAACTGGACTGGTTCCCCAAGGATCAATTCTGATTTCGCTCGCCGCCAATTTTGCTCTGCCAAGAGCGTAAAATCATCCAGAGGCAATTGCAACAATGTAGAGCAATTGCAGAGTCCCATTGAAAATGCCTGTAATTACGTTCTTCAATTGTCAACATTTGCAAGGAACGCTCCAGGATATGATGCACATAATGGTTTGAGTTTATCGTTTCCGAGTACAATAAAGGCTTAATTATTCTCTTAGCACTGATTGCGCACCGTGCACCGACTTTTATGTCGTGTAGCTGAACTTCGTGAAAATGTAAGAGTTTTCTGTACCCCAGTACCTGTAATTT